CTGAGCTCCTTAGCCATTGGTAGATCAAGTTGGAGTCCAGCCATGTGAGTCATTTGTCCATTTGATTTACTTAGTGCCAGTGCTGGGCCTGGGTCTCAGGGCCTGGGTGCTGCCCCTTGCTTCTCGCTCAAGGTGAGCAGGCACTTTACCCTTGAGTCCCAGAATCACTCCCAGCCTTTTAGCGGTTCCTGTGGATAAGAATCTCACAGATCTTCCTACCCACACTGGCATTGTCACCAGACGCAGTGAAGGTTTGTGAAGCTCCTCTTTAAATATAGGGACTTTTCTCTTAGGGTCCTTGACTTTGATCACAGAGTAAGAATTTCTGGTTAAGTCACAATGGGAAGGAAACTTGGCTGAGCTTTATGAGTAAGCAAAGAAGCAGGCAAGCAGACAAACAGGCACAGAAGGGAGACAAACAGAAGGGCAGGGGCACACTAGTGGAGTGTGGGTGCTCTCTCGTAGGGAGATAGACACAGAGAGAGACACATAATACACACAGACCCATAAACAGACAGACAGACAGACAGATACACACCCAGCTCCTTGGGCTGTTGGGTATTTATAGGGTAAAGGAAGGGGTCTGGCTTAAAGTTATACAGAGCTAGGTGCTTTGTCTTTGCTCTAAGCATACCTGCAATTATTCTCTGAGTTTCCAGGTAAGAATGAGTCCTGCCGTGAGACAGATCCTTGTCATTGAGACAGGGAGGTGCACTGCCACCTGCATGTGGAGCATCCTATCAGACAGTTGTTAATCCTTGGGTGAGAAATGCATCCTTTAGGAAGGATGTTGTGTCTCTTTGAAGCAAAGACAGTGCTTCTGTGTTTCTAAAGACCATATTTCTGAGTCACCTTCACCAGACCCCAGTTTTATTATATTACTGTTTTGTTTTCCCCTAAATGACTTGGTTCCCTTAATCTTAAGGGAAGTAGATGGACAGAGGTTGAGCTGGAGTCTTTCCATCCCTGACAGCCAGTTGCCATAGCTCACTCTCCCCAGGCTGTCCTGCCTCTGCCCTGTGGCCGCCTTAGACCTTGATCCTCAAACCCCAGCCTCCCCAGGAGCTAAGATTATAGGTGTCAGCCACCAGTGCCTGGCCTTTGCCTACTTTAAAATCTGGTTAGTTCCCTCTTTAATGTTTATTTTGTTAACTTATTGTTGTTAAAGAGGTGATATACAGAGGGATTACAATTTCATGAGTCAGGTGTCTTCTGCTCTCTCTCCCAGGCCCGCCCTCCCGTCTCCACCCAGGAGTTCACGCTTGTCAGTGACTTTTGTTGTTGCGTTCTAGGAGTGCCGAGTGGGTGGCAGCTGCTGTGGCACCCATGGTCTTCCTCTATTGCTGGTGCTGTCCCCAGGCTGGGGCCATGGGCGCCGCAGCTGTGCGCTTTGGCGATTTTCCTTGCTGATGAGGCAGTGCCTGGCAAGGTCGCTGGCTGTGTGGAGGAAGTGAGCATCTGAGCTGACTCACCAGATGGGCAACTGTGCGTGTCTGCCGCCGGTCACGGGGGTAGAGGGGTGGGGGCTCGTGCCATGGGTCAAAGGGGGGCATGCTGTGGGTCACAGGGAGGTAGAGGGGGACAGCTCACTGAGCTTGTCCTCATGTTGCTTCTCCGTGGCTGATGAGTCCAGGCCTGAGCAGTGGCTCCGCGGCCATCTGAGCCCCAGCATGGGGTGCGGGCCTCCGCTATCACGGCTCAGGGCGGATCACGCGGAGCCCATCTGTGCCCTTCCCCATACATCCCAGCCACCAAACCCTTGGCTCCCCGGGTCCCCAGAGACCCTCCCCACTCAGGCCTTCCACACGTCCTCCCCTGTGGACCCCCTGTCCCGGTGGGTCCCCTGCCCCTGTGGATCCCCTGCCTTGTGGACCCCCTGTCCCTACAGACCCCTGTGAGGAGAGTGCACTCAGGGGAGGTGCGCGTGTGAGGAGAGCGCACGGGGGAGGTGCGCGTGTGAGGAGAGCGCACGGGGGGGGGGGGAGGTGCGCGTGTGAGGAGAGCGCACGGGGGGGGAGGTGCATGTGAGGAGAGCGCACGGGGGGGGAGGTGCGCGTGTGAGGAGAGCGCACGGGGGGGGAGGTGCGCGTGTGAGGAGAGCGTACGCGGGGGGGGAGGTGCGCGTGTGAGGAGAGCGCACGGGGGGGAGGTGCGCGTGAGGAGAGCGCACGGGTGGGGAGGTGCGCGTGTGAGGAGAGCGCACGGGGGGGGGAGGTGCATGTGAGGAGAGCGCACGGGGGGGGAGGTGCGCGTGTGAGGAGAGCGCACGGGGGGGAGGTGCGCGTGTGAGGAGAGCGCACGGGGGGGGAGGTGCGCGTGTGAGGAGAGCGCACGGGGGGGGGGGAGGTGCGCGTGTGAGGAGAGCGCACGGGGGGGGGAGGTGCATGTGAGGAGAGCGCACGGGGGGGGGAGGTGCGCGTGTGAGGAGAGCGCACGGGGGGGGGAGGTGCGCGTGTGAGGAGAGCGCACGGGGGGGGGAGGTGCGCGTGTGAGGAGAGCGCACGGGGGGGGGAGGTGCGCGTGTGAGGAGAGCGCACGGGGGGGGAGGTGCGCGTGTGAGGAGAGCGTACGCGGGGGGGGGGAGGTGCGCGTGTGAGGAGAGCGCACGGGGGGGAGGTGCGCGTGTGAGGAGAGCGCACGGGGGGGGGGAGGTGCGCGTGTGAGGAGAGCGCAGGGGGGGAGGTGCACGTGTGAGGAGAGCGCACGGGGGGAGGTGCGCGTGTGAGGAGAGCGCACGGGGGGGGGGAGGTGCACGTGTGAGGAGAGCGCACGCGGGGGGGGGGGGGAGGTGTGCTTGTGAGGAGAGCGCACGGGGGGGAGGTGCGCGTGTGAGGAGAGCGCACGGGGGGGAGGTGCGCGTGTGAGGAGAGCGCACGGGGGGGGGGGAGGTGCGCGTGTGAGGAGAGCGCACGGGGGGAGGTGCACGTGTGAGGAGAGCGCACGGGGGGAGGTGCGCGTGTGAGGAGAGCGCACAGGGGGGGGAGGTGCGCGTGTGAGGAGAGCGCACGGGGGGGAGGTGCGCGTGTGAGGAGAGCGCACGGGGGGGGGAGGTGCGCGTGTGAGGAGAGCGCACGGGGGGGGGGAGGTGCATGTGAGGAGAGCGCACGGGGGGGAGGTGCGCGTGTGAGGAGAGCGCACGGGGGGGGAGGTGCGCGTGTGAGGAGAGCGTACGCGGGGGGGGGGAGGTGCGCGTGTGAGGAGAGCGCACGGGGGGAGGTGCGCGTGTGAGGAGAGCGCACGGGGGGGAGGTGCACGTGTGAGGAGAGCGTACGCGGGGGGGGAGGTGCGCGTGTGAGGAGAGCGCACGGGGGGGGGAGGTGCATGTGAGGAGAGCGCACGGGGGGGGGAGGTGCGCGTGTGAGGAGAGCGCACGGGGGGGGGGGAGGTGCGCGTGTGAGGAGAGCGCACGGGGGGGGAGGTGCATGTGAGGAGAGCGCACGGGGGGGGGGAGGTGCGCGTGTGAGGAGAGCGCACGGGGGGGGGGAGGTGCGCGTGTGAGGAGAGCGTACGCGGGGGGGGGGAGGTGCGCGTGTGAGGAGAGCGCACGGGGGGAGGTGCGCGTGTGAGGAGAGCGCACGGGGGGAGGTGCGCGTGTGAGGAGAGCGCACGGGGGGAGGTGCACGTGTGAGGAGAGCGCACGGGGGGAGGTGCGCGTGTGAGGAGAGCGCACAGGGGGGGGAGGTGCGCGTGTGAGGAGAGCGCACGGGGGGGGAGGTGCGCGCGTGAGGAGAGCGCACGGGGGGGGAGGGAGGTGCGCGTGTGAGGAGAGCGCACGGGGGAGGTGCGCGTGTGAGGAGAGCGCACGGGGGAGGTGCGCGTGTGAGGAGAGCGCACGGGGGGGGGGGGTGCGCGTGTGAGGAGAGCGCACGGGGGGAGGTGCGCGTGTGAGGAGAGCGCACGGGGGGAGGTGCGCGTGTGAGGAGAGCGCACGGGGGGGGGAGGTGCGCGTGTGAGGAGAGCGCACGGGGGGGAGGTGCGCGTGTGAGGAGAGCGCACGGGGGGGGGGAGGTGCGCGTGTGAGGAGAGCGCACGGGGGGGAGGTGCACGTGTGAGGAGAGCGCACGGGGGGGAGGTGCACGTGTAAGGAGAGCGCACGGGGGGGAGGTGCACGTGTAAGGAGAGCGCACGGGGGGGGGGAGGTGCGCGTGTGAGGAGAGCGCACGGGGGAGGTGCGCGTGTGAGGAGAGCGCACGGGGGGAGGTGCGCGTGTGAGGAGAGCGCACGGGGGGAGGTGCGCGTGTGAGGAGAGCGCACGGGGGGGGGGGGAGGTGCGCGTGTGAGGAGAGCGCACGGGGGGGGGGAGGTGCGCGTGTGAGGAGAGCGCACGGGGGGGGGGGGGGGGCGGTGCGCGTGTGAGGAGAGCGCGGGGGGGGGGGGGGGAGGTGCGCGTGTGAGGAGAGCGCACGGGGGCGGCATGCGTGTGAGCAGAGCGCACGGGGTGGGGGGTCGGAGGTGTGCGTGTGAGCAGAGCGCACGCGGGGCGTGAGCGGCGTGCCTGTGTGAGGTGCAAGCACGGCCCTGCCACCCGCACGCGTCGCCGGGGCTTCGCAGAGCCGCGGGCTGGGACGAGGCCCGCGTGCAGGGGGTGGGAGCCGGGAGTGGGAGCCCGGGCGTCCCGCGCCGTCCCGGGCAGGACCCGCCTCTGGGGCCACCGCCGCCGGCTGGGCTCCCGGACCGGACCGCAGGTGAGGCCGGCCCGGGCAACCCCGGGAAGCGGACGCCCAGGCCCGGGCCCGGCCCGCAGGTCCTCGGCCATGGCGGCCCGTGGGGCACGGGGTGTTTGCTCAACACGCAAGGCCGTCGGCGCGGCCCGGGAGCCGGCACGGGGTGCGCTCGCCACGGGGTGCGCTCCGCTCGCGGGCCGGGCTCCGGGAGCCCCAGGCCCCGCCCGCCGCCGGGCCCCGCCCCTCGCGGGCCCCGCCCACTGCCGGTGCGGAGTCCCAACTTTCCCCCAAGTCCCGCGTCACCGCCGGCCGGGGCACACCCGCCCTGTTTACCCCGCCCCGCCCGCGCGCCCGGACGCCGGACGCTACAAAACGAGCCCCGCGGCGGCTCCGCGCAGAGCTCGTGTCCCCGGACCCCGGACCCCGGTGCCGGCATGGCGCGCGTGGCCGATTCCAAGCGGCATCTGCTGGCCGTCTACACCGGCGGCACCATCGGCATGCTGATGGAGGGCGGAGGTGAGTGGCCGCCCCTGCGCCCCGGGTCCCACACCTCGCCGGGGCCCCCTCCCGTCCGGCCGGGGCGCCCCCCACCCCTGCCCCATCAGCGTTGCTTTTGGTTTTGGTTTTCGGTGCCAGCATTGAGTGGATAGCTCAAGGCGGGCGCTGCACCACCTGAGCCGCAGCGCCACTCCTAGCTTTCTGGTGGGTAAAGGAAGAGAAGAGTCTCATGGACTTTTCCTGCCAGGGCTGGCCTCGAACCACCATACTCAGATCCCAGCCTCCTGAGTAGCTGGGGTTGCAGGCCTGAGCCACTGGCCCTGGGCTTTGTCTCTGTTTGAGACCCCTGCCCACGGAGCCCCATGGAGTCCCAGGGGGAGAGGGAGGGAGGGGACAGGCGGGGCCAGCGTGGTGCTGCTCCCCATCAGAGCCGGGACCCTGGAAGGACCACATGGTGCCCTCAGGGCCCGCAGGACCAGCTCATGGCAAGCTCCGCCCCCCTCTGCCAGCCACAAGCCTCCTCCGGAGCCTGCAGCCCCCCACAGCCCTCTCCTCTTCAGCACACCAGCCCTGTCCCCTGTGTCCCAGCAGCTCGCATACCCCAGACAGCCGGTTCTACCTGGGCCTGAGCCAGCTGCCCTCTGACCTCCTTTCCCTTGGGGTAGGAGAGCTTGCCAAATTGCCAAATACCCCTGCCAGTCTGTCAGCCACTTCCCCATCTACCTCCTTTCCTCCTCCCTGGGTCCAGGAGGAGACTGCTGGCCTCCACCCCAGGAACACTCCTCCACAACACCCTTAAACAAAACCAAACCAGGTCTCAGTGCTGGGTCACGTAGCCCCGGCTGTCCCTGGAAATTCAGAGCCGAGACCCCCCCCCCCCTGGCCTTCCCTGGCCCGAGGATTCGGGCAAGATGCCACGCCCCAGCCCAGCCCGGAGAAGAGAAGTGAAAGCGAAAGTATACCCCGGAGAGGGCAGCCCAGGGCAAGAGTGAAGAGGAGACAGGCCGGGAGGGGGGCAGGGGGAGGGGGGCAGGGGGAGCATGACTTCTTTCCTGCTGCTGTGGCGAGAAGCTTGTCTGGCCCACGGGGCTTGTGTGGCTGGTGCCCAGGCTGACCAAGACCCATGGAGCCCGTGTGTGTTTCTCCTAGAGACGGGACAATCCTAAACTGAGGTCCTAGGCATCTTGGGGCAAAGGTCATTGAGGGTCACTGTACCCCCAGGGCTCGGCTCTGCTGGCTGAGCCTCCGAGCTGTGGAACGGTGTCAGTCCAGGGCCGGGTTCCGGTGTTTCTTTGAAAGTTGGGAACAGAGCTGTGGACGAGCTTGGGGCTGGCTTTGTGAGTGACCCTGGTAACTGTGGGAAGTCTGCTCCACCTGTTGCCTGGCAACCCTGGGCCCTGCCTGCTCTGCCTGCCTGCTCCCTTTCCCTCCCCCCCCCCCCCCCCAGTGCCTTACATTTTCAAAGGATATTAATGAGTTGGTGGTCTCTTATAACTGCTTCAAAGGTTGTGTGCTGTACATATCCTGAGGTGTGAGACCTTGGATATCAGGTTAGAGATCCAGAAAGAGCTAGAAACTTTATCCAGCAAGGCCCATCCCCCGGCAGGAACATCCAGGGTAGGGGCTGGTACTCCTGGGCCGGCGTCCCAGGCAGCTTGGTGGCTTTGGTCCTAAAGAGGGCAGCGAGCGGTGCAGCCTGCTGCCGCCCAGCGGGCTCTGGTGCCAGCCAACCAGGCAGATGCTGGGTGTTTTTGTGTTTTTGCCACTCCTGGGGCTTGAAATTAGGGCCCGGGTGCTCTGGGTGCCCTCTTTGGCTCCAGGTTAGTGTTCTACAGCTTGAGCCACAGTGTCACTGCTGGCCTTTTTTTTTCCCTTAGTTTGGAGCTAAGACTTTCTTGATCCTCATAGCTGGGGTTACAGGCCTGAGCCACTGGCGCTGGCTTGCAGATGCTCTTTTTAATCCTTACTGGATTTTCTTTAATTTTCCTGCGGAGGTGACAGGTGGTGGGGCCCGGCGGGGCTGTGGCGGCTGTCCAGTCCTGAGGCGTCTCATCAGCTTCACCTCCGAGTTTCATAGCGACCGCCTTATGCTATATCATTTGTAGTTTTATAGCCTGGAGAGGGGAAGAAACAAAGTTGGAGGGAGATCCAGGACTCTCCCCGGGAAGGTGGACAAGACTGGCAGCACGGAATGTGCCTAGGAACCATTTCTCCTTGGCACAGGTGCCAGTCCTTGCAGCAGGGTTGGCACAGGCCTCTCCATGTGGAATGTGACGGTGTCCCCTCTTGTCTGCACACCTCCTGGACCCCTGGTTTCCGCAGGGCCCCTAGTTGCAGGGAGGAGCCCTGTGTGGGGCTCTCCTCACCGTCCCATGGCCCAGCTGGTCTGATCACTTGCTGGGCCGGGCCACGGGCAAGTCAGGGGGGAGTGTGTTCCCGAAAGACCAAACTGATTGGCTAAGAAGCAACAACAATGGGGCTGGGAAGGTGGTTCAGTGGTAGAGCGCTTGCTTTGCATGCCTGAGGCCCTGGGTTCGATTCCTCAGCACCACATAAGCAAAAAGAAAAAAGCCGGAAGTGGCACTGTGGCTGAAGTGGTAGGGTGCTAGCCTTGAGCTGAAGAGCTGAGGGACAGCGCCCAGGCCCAGAGTTCAGGCCCCACAACCGGACCCAAAAAAAAAAGAGAGGCAACAACATTTTAAAAAGTAGTAGCTCCTAAGCAGGATGTGCATAAACCCCTTAGCTTTGAAAAGCTAACTCTGCTTGAGTCATTCCCTGTGGGACTGACCGGGAGTGTTTCCGTTGGGGCCAGATAGCAGTGGGGGTAATAGCATCACATCGGCAGCATTCAGATGTCCCGGTCAGTTAGGAAGAAATGCACACAAACCAGCATCACTTGCAATTTTAGGTTTCGGACACCAGCTTCGTAAGGTTTGGCATTCCAGAAAGTCAGAATGTGGACCCAGAGAACACTAGCACACCCAACATACCAAGTCTGTACCTAGAGGACACTAGCACACCCAACACACCAAGTCAGACCTAGAGGACACCAGCACACCCAACACACCAAGTCAGACCTAGAGGACACTAGCACACCCAACACACCAAGTCAGACCTAGAGGACACCAGCACACCCAACACACCAAGTCAGACCTAGAGGACACTAGCACACCCAACACACCAAGTCTGTACCTAGAGGACACCAGCACACCCAACACACCAAGTCAGACCTAGAGGACACCAGCACACCCAACACACCAAGTCAGACCTAGAGGACACCAGCACACCCAACACACCAAGTCAGACCTAGAGGACACCAGCACACCCAACACACCAAGTCAGACCTAGAGGACACCAGCACACCCAACACACCAAGTCAGACCTAGAGGACACCAGCACACCCAACACACCAAGTCAGACCTAGAGGACACTAGCACACCCAACACACCAAGTCTGTACCTAGAGGACACCAGCACACCCAACACACCAAGTCAGACCTAGAGGACACCAGCACACCCAACACACCAAGTCTGACCTAGAGGACACCAGCACACCCAACACACCAAGTCTGTACCTAGAGGACACTAGCACACCCAACACACCAAGTCAGATCTAGAGGACACTAGCACACCCAACACACCAAGTCAGACCTAGAGGACACCAGCACACCCAACACACAAAGTCAGACCTAGAGGACACTAGCACACCCAACACACCAAGTCAGACCTAGAGGACACTAGCACACCCAACACACCAAGTCTGTACCTAGAGGATACTAGCACACCCAACACACCCAGTCTGTACCTAGAGGACACCAGCACACCCAACACACCAAGTCAGACCTAGAGGACACTAGCACACCCAACACACCAAGTCTGTACCTAGAGGACACCAGCACACCCAACACACCAAGTCTGTACCTAGAGGACACCAGCACACCCAACACACCAAGTCAGACCTAGAGGACACCAGCACACCCAACACACCAAGTCAGACCTAGAGGACACTAGCACACCCAACACACCAAGTCAGACATAGGGGACACCAGCACACCCAACACACCAAGTCAGACCTAGGGGACACTAGCACACCCAACACACCAAGTCTGTACCTAGAGGACACCAGCACACCCAACACACCAAGTCAGACCTAGAGGACACTAGCACACCCAACACACCAAGTCAGACCTAGAGGACACCAGCACACCCAACACACCAAGTCTGACCTAGAGGACACTAGCACACCCAACACACCAAGTCAGACCTAGAGGACACCAGCACACCCAACACACCAAGTCTGACCCAGAGGACACCAGCACACCCAACACACCAAGTCTGTACCTAGAGGACACCAGCACACCCAACACACCAAGTCAGATCTAGAGGACACTAGCACACCCAACACACCAAGTCAGACCTAGAGGACACCAGCACACCCAACACACCAAGTCAGACCTAGAGGACACTAGCACACCCAACACACCAAGTCAGACCTAGAGGACACTAGCACACCCAACACACCAAGTCTGTACCTAGAGGACACTAGCACACCCAACACACCAAGTCTGTACCTAGAGGACACCAGCACACCCAACACACCAAGTCAGACCTAGAGGACACTAGCACACCCAACACACCAAGTCTGACCTAGAGGACACCAGCACACCCAACACACCAAGTCAGACCTAGAGGACACCAGCACACCCAACACACCAAGTCAGACCTAGAGGACACTAGCACACCCAACACACCAAGTCAGACCTAGAGGACACCAGCACACCCAACACACCAAGTCAGACCTAGAGGACACCAGCACACCCAACACACCAAGTCAGACCTAGAGGACACTAGCACACCCAACACACCAAGTCTGTACCTAGAGGACACTAGCACACCCAACACACCAAGTCTGTACCTAGAGGACACCAGCACACCCAACACACCAAGTCAGACCTAGAGGACACTAGCACACCCAACACACCAAGTCAGACCTAGAGGACACTAGCACACCCAACACACCAAGTCAGACCTAGAGGACACTAGCACACCCAACACACCAAGTCTGACCTAGAGGACACTAGCACACCCAACACACCAAGTCTGTACCTAGAGGACACCAGCACACCCAACACACCAAGTCTGACCTAGAGGACACTAGCACACCCAACACACCAAGTCTGTACCTAGAGGACACCAGCACACCCAACACACCAAGTCAGACCTAGAGGACACCAGCACACCCAACACGCCAAGTCAGACCTAGAGGACACCAGCACACCCAACACACCAAGGAACGAGCAGCAGTTAGCATCAGGCGACACACAAGCATTGATTTAGTTTTCATGCTCACAGCAAAAGTTTGAATCCTTGGTTGGGTAAGATAACAGGTTTAGGTCATTGACACAAATCAAAACTTTAGATCTGCCAGGTGCTGGTGGCTCACACCTGTAATCCTAGCTACTCAGGAGGTTGAAATCTGAGGATTGTGTTTCAAAGCCAGCCTGGGCAAGAAACTGTGAGACTCTTATCTCCAATAAACCAGTAGAAAGCCGGAAGTGGCGCTGTGGTTCTAATGGTAACTCACTAGTCTTGAGCTGAAGAGCTGAGGGACAGCGCCCAGGCCCAGAATTCAAGCCCCACGACTGACAAACAACTTTAGATCTTTTCCAGCTAGGGGGACAGTGCCTGTGACCCCAGAGCTCCTGATATAGTATATAATACTCATTGAGTCCAGACAAATAAATATAGGCCAGGTGTTGAACAACAGGAATGCTCAAAATGTCTTTTTCCATCTGATACAAGTAACAGGCAAAACACTAAAGTTTCACCAACCATTTTGTAGGGTGTGTGTGTGTGTGTGTGTGTGTGTGTGTGTGTGTGTTGCTGTCCTTGAGCTTTTGTGCTCAAGGCTAGTGCTCTACCACCTGGGCCACAGCTCTATTGCTATTGTTTTTTTTTATTGTTAATCAGAGATAAGATTCTCCTGGACTTTCCTGCCTATGCTGCCTTTGAACCATCATCTGAAGATCTCAGCCTCCTGAGTAGCTAGGGTTACAGGTGTGAGCCATCAGTGCCTTGGTACATTCACCTTTTTTTTTTGTCAGTCGTGGGTCTTGAACTCTGGGCCTGGGCGCTGTCCCTCAGCTCTTCAACTCAAGACTAGCGCTCTACCACTTGAGCCACAGTGCTACTTCTCGTTTTCTGGTGGTTAATTGGAGGTAAGAGTCTGATGGGCTTTCCTTGCCCAGGCTGGCTTTGAACTGTGATCATAAGATCTCAGCCTCCTGAGTAGCTAGGATGACAGGCGTGAGCCACTGGCGCCCGGCTACACTGACAGTTTCAGTGATGAAGGTGGAGACAGGGCGTTGTGGTTGAGGGAGCAGTACCTGCACCAAGTCTGCACAACTGGACCCTGCAGACACTATGTGTAGACTGCAGGCTCACAGTGCACACACCTGCAGCCACAGACCTCGGGTATTGTGTTAGGATCACATGAATGACAGTTTGTTTTATCATCGTCACAGGTGGCATTTAAAAGACTTCACATAGACAGGCATGCATGGGGCAGGCGTGTGGGGAGGGCGGCAGGCCTGAGGGACAGGTGGGCCCCGCCTCCGGGGAGCCCTGGGCTTCTCCGTGTCTGTTCCGGTTCAGGGCTGCTGGCCTGGCCTGGCCTTGGTGCCGGCTGCAGGTGGGCCGGGGCTTTGCCATTGTGAGGCCGTGTGCACCGCCGCTGTTGGGATAGCTTCTGTGCCTGCAGCAGTGCAGAGGGCACCACGTCTGCCTCTGCGGAGTTCAGCAAAGACTTGTCAAGGGGTGTCAGGCACCACGGACCCCGAGCTCACCTGTGGCCCGGTGTGCGTCCCCAGCCTGCCACCAGAGGGAGCTGGCTCCCCACTGGTGTCAAGCCTGGCTTGGGGTGGGGCCGTGGGAAGCTGGGCTCCCGCGGGGCTGCCCGACCAGGGGCCACAGCTGGTCCCAGGCGCTTCGCAGCCAAGGCGTCCCTGCTGCTGCAGAGTGGCCCCATAGCCTTTGCCTGGCCTCCTCCCCGAGGGTGGCGCCGAGGCCTGGCGGGCTGGCCCCAGAGCTGCCCGCCAGGACCTCAGCCTTTGCTTCCCGGAAGCCTCGGCTGAGCCGTTGTTTCTCAGGACCCTTGCCTGCGACCTTTGGTTTCCTTGGGACAGGGTGCTGATGGTGCTGGGCGCAGGGCAGAGCTGCTGCAGGGCACACATGTTTGGGCACCTGCTGTCCTGCTGTGTGCCGGGCCTCCTCTCGGAGCACTGGGCCATCAGGTGGTGTGTGAAGGGCCCGGTGGCTGGGCATTGTGGGGCACTTCTTGGAGGCACTTCCTGCCCTGAGCGGAGCCAGGACCTGTGGGCCGTGCCAGCCACACGTGGTGGGCATTCGAGGTGGGGTGGTAGACAAAGGCTGGAGCAGGCCCGGCCCCCGGAGCCTCTGTTGGTGGGGAGCGTGGACATGCTGGGTGTCAGCAGAGGCAGGACCTGGGCTGGGGCCGTCTGGGTTCAAGAAGAGGAGTCGGTGCCTGCCCCCCCCCCCGGGAAAGCCACCGCATCCGGCATCCAGACAGGGGCACTGGCAGCCCCCCAAGGGCTCAGCATTAGCAGCTGCAGCCTGTCCTCCCGCCCAAGGCACCCTTAGGGCCCATCCGCTCCTGCCCAGAGCCGGGCAGCCATGGGGCAGGCTCGCAGCAGCCAGCCCTGCCCCACCCAACGTCCGGACTCCGCTTACAGTGCTCGTCCCTGGAAAGGGCCTGGCTGCCGCGCTGAGGATGCTGCCCATGTTCCACGACAAGGCATATGCCCGGGACCACAGCCTCCCCCAAGACACGCTGGCCCTGCCGTGAGTGCGGCCCCTCCCCCACCGCCCGGGGCCTTCCCCCTCCTCCTACCTGCACCCCCAGCCCCTGGGATGGGCTCGGTGGCCCCGGTGCCCTTGTGGCTGGGCACCTCCCCTGGTACGCTCCCTCCTTGCTGCTGCTTCCGGCCCAGCCCCAGCTGGGGTGAGGGAGTGGCCCTGCCCAGGGACAGCCTGACCCTTCTCAGGGAGGCCGTCCACCTCAGGAGGCTCCCAGAGCAGCGGCTGGGCCTGGTGGTGGGCTGCGGGGAGTTGGGAGCATGTGCTGAGCCCATCCCAGAGCCGGCAGGCACTGGAGCGCCCCGGGGGGGCATGGTGGGCACAGGAGGGGAGGGGCTTGGTGGGCTTGGGGGGAGGGGGAGGGGCATGGCAGGCAGGGAGGCGTGGCGTGGCGGGGATGGGGGCCAGCTTCTGCCTCCTGCAGCCCCACCAGCTCGGGCCAGAGGATCATCTACACAGTGCTGGAGTGCCAGCCCCTCTTCGACTCCAGCGACATGGCCATCCCCGAGTGGGTTCAGGTCGCCGAGACCATCCAGGTAGGTGGGGTCTGTGGCTGGGGCCGCAGGGTGGCACAGGGGTGGACGGGGTGTCTAGGGGAGCAGGGCCGGCTTGCAGTGGCATGCGGGCGGGGGGAGGGGCTGGGGGTCGCTGGTGGAGGAGGACTGCCCCTCCCCCAGACCTCGGGGAGGACGGGGCAGTGGGGGGGGCTGGCAGGGTCCCGGGGCTCTCTGTGCCTGGCCTGCCCTCCAGGCTCGGCTCTCATCATCTTCCCTGGAATGTTGTTGCCACAGCCAACCTAGCCACACACCTGTTTCCTTCTCCTTGGGGGCAGCAGCTCCCTCCGCCCCCAGCTGAACTGCCCAGCCTCCTGTTTGACCTTGGGTACGTTCCCATTCCGGGAAGAGGGCCTCCTGTGGCACCTGTGGCCTGGTGGTGGCAGGTCATCCACTGGCTCAGGCCCTGCTGCGCTGCTGAGGTCCAGTGGTGCCCTGTGGGCCTGTGGTGCCCTGTGGGCTTGTGGCCAGGCCGTCAGCTGCTAACCAGCTTCAGAAAATCCTTCCCAGCTGTGCCACCCATGGCCAGCAGGGGGCGCCACCTCCACGCGGCAGTCTTTAGATGGGACAGCCAGGCCTGGTGTAGGTAGACCATGTAGGGGAGGTTCCCTCCCCCTTCCCCCCCCCCCCCCCCCCGTGAGTGAGCTCCCACCCCCACCCCCCGGGGTAGGAAGGCCCCTGGGCTCCCAGCCTGTCCCTGGCAGCCAGAGCCAGGATCTACCTCCCTGTAGGAGGTGGGCCTCCCTTCCCTGGCCTCCAGTGACAGCTGGGCCCCCTCTGGTCATCCGCGTGCATGCTAGCAAGGCTCTCAGTCCCCTGTTGCCCCTGCTGCTCTGGAGGCAGCAGAGAGGACCCCATCCAGGGGCTGCTTGGAGCTCCGGGAAGACAGCCATGCCTAGGAGGTGCTGGCTGAAACCTAGGGGCCCTGTTCCTAGTGGGGTGTCCAGAGCCCCCGGACCCAGTCTCTCCTGCTCTGAGGGGAGTCACAGGGAAGTGGGGTCCCCACGGGAGGCATGGCTGTCTTTCTGGCTGCAGGGTGATCACACTGAGCCTTCCTGGGTACCTATCTGTGCCTCGTTCCTTTCCTCTCCCACCCCCACTGTACCCCCGCCCCCATTCCAAGCAGAGGCCTGTGGTGGGCCGGCCAGCCTGCCCTGAATGTGCCCCCTTCCACAGAAACACTATGAGCAGTACCACGCCTTTGTGGTCATCCACGGCACGGACACCATGGCCTTCGCGGCCTCTGTGCTGTCCTTCATGCTGGAGAACCTGCAGAAGCCCGTCATTCTCACCGGCGCCCAGGTACCTGCGCGGCCCCAGGCTCCAGAGCAACGCTGAGGCGGGCCAGGGCTCCTGCCCGGGGAAGGCCCTCTCCCCACCCCGGCTAAGTCCCCCGCTGTGCACTACCCGCTGGGATGTGGGGACCCCTAGGAGGTACAGGCAGAGGCACCCCTGCTGGGCTGTCCGAGGCCAGCTCTGACCAACCCCTGGATCTGGGATTGATGGCAGCCCAGGGCCCCACAGCCTGCTGGGTGAGGAGGCCTTTCCTCTCCCATCGGCCTCACATCTGTCCACCGCAGCCACCCGGGCCCAGCCCCACATACCCCCCACTCCACGCCCACTCCAGCCTCGCTCCCCTCTACTGGAGGCTTTGAGAGGGTGAAGCCAGGCCCTACAGGTGCTTCCTGGGCCTCAGCTCCCACGGCCTCTCCCCAGACCTCAGCCCCCATGGCCTCTCCCACGGCCTCAGCACCCACGGCCTCTCCCCAGACCTCAGCCCCCACGGCCTCTCCCCAGACCTCAGCCCCCACGGCCTCTCCCCAGGCCTCAACCCTCATGGCCTCTCCCACGGCCTCAGCCCCCACGGCCTCTCCCTAGGCCTCAGCTCCCACGGCCTCTCCCACGGCCTCTCCCATGGCCTCTCCCCAGACCTCAGCCCCCACGGCCTCTACCCAGGCCTCAACCCTCATGGCCTCTCCCACGGCCTCTCCCACAGCCTCTCCCACAGCCTCTCCCATGGCCTCTCCCACGGCCTCTCCCACAGCCTCTCCCATGGCCTCTCCCCAGGCCTCAGCCCCCACGGCCTCTCCCACGGCCTCTCCCCAGGCCTCAGCCCCCACGGCCTCTCCCCAGGCCTCAGCCCCCATGGCCTCTCCTCAGGCCTCAGCTCCCACGGCCTCTCCCACAGCCTCAGCCCAGGCCTCAGCTCCCACGACCTCTCCCACGGCCTCAGCCCCCACGGCCTCTCCCACGGCCCCTCCCCAGGCCTCAGCTCCCACGGCCTCTCCTCAGGCCTCAGCTCCCACGGCCCCTCCCCAGGCCTCAGCCCCCACGGCCTCTCCCACGGCCCCTCCCCAGGCCTCAGCCCCCACAGCCTCTCCCACGGCCCCTCCCCAGGCCTCAAATCCCCCTCCTGGCTCTCCCCAGGTGCCCATCCATGCGCTGTGGAATGATGGTCGTGAGAACCTACTGGGGGCCCTCCTCATGGCTGGACAGTACATCATCCCTGAGGTGCCTGGCCTAGCCTGGGGCTCACCCTCGGGAGGGTGGACATGGGGCCATGGTGCCCTGGGGAGGGTGGATGTGGGGCCGTGGTGTCCTGGGGAGGGTGGACATGGGGCCGTGGTGCCCTGGGGAGGGTGGACATGGGGCCGTGGTGCCCTGGGGAGGGTGGACACGGGGCCGTGGTGCCCTGGGGAGGGTGGACACGGGGCCGTGGTGTCCTGGGGAGAGTGGACACGGGGCCGTGGTGTCTAGGGGAGAGTGGACACAGGGCCGTGGTGTCCTGGGGAGGGTGGACACAGGGCCGTGGTGTCCTGGGGATCATGGACACGGGGCCGTGGTGTCCTGGGGAGGGTGTACACGGGGCAGTGGTGTCCTGGGGAGGGTGGACATGGTGCGGTAGTTCCCTGGGGAGGGTGGGCACAGGGCCGTGGTGCCCTGGGGATGTGGACACAGGGCCGTGGTTCCCTGGGGAGGAAGAGCTGGTGGATCTGGTGCCCAGCAGGACATGGTCAACTGATGAGATTTTTTTCCTCTTACTCTACAATGAACAATCATGGGAAACCTCTAGAAATGGATAAAGCAGAGGAAATAAAGTTATTCAACCTCACTTCACAGAGACAGTGTTATTAGTGGCCTGGAGTATTTACCTCCAGATTTTATATCATGTAAACATAATAATTGTAGACAGGTGTTTGGTTTTTTTTTGGGGGGGGGTCCGGTCGTGGGGTCTGAACTCTGGGCCTGGGCGCTGTCCCTCAGCTCTTCAGCTCAAGGCTAGCAATTGAGCCACAGTGCCACTTCTGGCTTTTTTCTTTTTGCTTATATGGTGCTAAGGTATCGAACCCAGGGCCTCATGCATGCAAGGCAAGCGCTCTACCACTGAGCCACCTTCCCAGCCCCCAGTGTTTTATCAGGGAAGTGCAATAGTTGTGTTTAGGAACACATGAAATAGACCGTGCCCAGCACAGGCCTGCCCCTCCCCCACAGTGCCCCGTGCCACGCCGGTGTCACGGAGGCTCAGGGACTTCCCGGCCTTGGAAGGCCAGGCCGGTTCTCAGCAGTTCCTGGCCAGGAAGGGCAGGGTGGTTAGCCCCTCTCCCCTTGTCTCGTCTGACTCTCCTCCTGCCGTACCCCGCCCGTCAGAGGCTGGCGTCCTTGTGCCCCCACTCCATGCAGAGGGCACTCTGGAATCGTCCACGCCCCCAGGTCTGCCACCCGTGCCTGCTCCCCAGACCCCAATGGCTGGGGGTCCACGCAGGGCGGGGCAGGCAGGAAGTAGCCTGAGCTGCAGTTGTCCACAGAGGGGCCACCTCCCGAGGGTCACCCCGGGTTCCCCGGGTCACCCCGAGGCCCGGCTCCGAGCCCTGCCCCTCCTCTCCCAGGTCTGCCTGTTCTTCCAGAACCAGCTCTTCCGGGGCAACAGGACCACCAAGGTGGACGCGCGGAAGTTTGAGGCTTTCTGCTCCCCCAACCTCCCCCCGCTGGCCGTCATGGGCGCGGACGTCACCCGTAAGTGGGCGCCAGAGCGGGCGGCTGGGCTCGCCGGCCCCAAAGGCCCAGCTGGGGCCTGGTCCCGAGCCTTGGGGGGTCTGCCGCCCAGGCGCTCTGCCCCACATGGCCCTAAGCCGAAGTGTTCCCCTCCGGGACTGGGACTCTGCTGCCCACCTGGTTACCACATGTCCCACAAGGTCCCCTGGACCGCTTTGCCACCCCCCAGGAGGGTCAGGGAGCCCAGAGGCTTCCCCCGGGGGTCGCGCCACCCCATCTGGCCCGGCTACGTAGCGCAGCCTGCGAGACCTGCGCTCTGGGCAGCCTTGCTGGGGTCTCAGGCCACTGTAACAGCCCAAGGGAGGGCACCCAGCTCACCGTCCTTCGGCGCAGGACAGCCCCGCCCCAAGGGGCTTCTGCCATCCCGGACCCAGAGCCAGAGTCCTCGTGGCCTCTCCTCAGGCCCTGTCCCCAGTCTACGGGGGGCCTGGGCCCGGGACGGCCGTGGTGTGGTTCTGCCACGCCTGCTCCTGTGTCCTGGCTGAGGCAGCGGCAGCGTTGGGTCCCCGCTGTGGGAACCGGTCCCTGGGGACCTGCAGCAGAGCAGGGCTTCTTTGGGGGCATTTGGGGCCTTGATGCTTTGCCAGGGCTGGGCAGAGCCAGGCCTGGGGGCAGGAGGGGGGCACCAGAGGGCCTGGCCTGGCTGCAATGACCTGCGGGTCAGATCTGGAGTTGTGCTGGGGCCTGGAGGGGAACTTCCTGGTGAAACAGGCACCGTTCCCCAGTTTAGGGAGGTGCCGACCCTCCCCAGAGGAAGGTGGGCTGGGGACAGCCAGGGCCTTGGTCCCCGGGGGGCCACACTCCCCAGAGGGGTCAGGGGTCAGGGAGGCTGAGGTTCTGCTCACAGTCCTGGCTTCGTGGGTTTGCGTCACCTCATCCTGGCTCAGAACTGTAGTGTCTGAATCTGTGGGAGCAACAGAGAGGCCTTCACCCCAGATCCCAGGACTCCATCTCAGATCTGGGGCTTCCACCCTAGATCCCAGGCCTCCACCCCAGATCCCAGGCCTCTACCTCAGATCCCAGACCTCCACCCCAGATCCGGGACCTCTACCTCAGATCCAGGGCCACTGCCTCAGATCCTGGGCCTCCGCCCCAGATCCTGGGCCTCCACCCCAGATCCCAGGCCTCCACCCCAGATCTGGGACCTCTACCTCAGATCCAAGGCCTTTATCTCAGATCCAGGACCTCTACCTAAGATCCTGGGCCTCCACCCCAGATCTGGGACCTCTACCTCAGATCCAGGGCCTCTACCTCAGATCCAGGCCCTCTACCTCAGATCCTGGGCCTCCACCCCAGATCCCAGGCCTCCACCTCAGATCCCAGGCCTCCACCTCAGATCCCAGGCCTCCAACTCAGATCCTAAGCCTTCACCCCAGATCCCAGGCTTCCACCCCAGATCTCAGGCCTCCACCTCAGATCCAGGGCCTCTACCTCAGATCTCAGGGCTTCCACCGTACCCAGGACAGCTGCCTCTGGCCAGCAGCTTCTGGGCTGGGCACGGAGGCCACCCACCCTTGGCCCTATCCCCCCACGCCCAGTCCCCAGCCCCCGCCCTGAGATCCCACACACTTATGTGCTGGGGTGTGGGAACCTGAGCTCCACCCATCCACTGATGTCAGGCTGCCCGGCTGGTTCCAGCACCCGGGTTGGGAAAGCCCTGGCTGTGGCTGGGGTGTGGCCCCGGGGCGCAGGAGACAGGTAGGTGTTTGTGTTCACCGCCTACCAGCCGGCTGGGAATCCAGATGCGGGGGGGGGGGGGGGGGGGGGAGGGGGGGAGGCTCCCACGAGCTGGCCCCCACCCTCTGGGAAGAAGTGAGCTGGAGGGCCTTCCAGGTGGCAGGCAGGCAGGCAATGGAGGCAGTGGTGGTAGGGAGAGCTTCCCTCCCCCCCTCCTCTCCCCCTCCCCCTCTCCCTCCTGCCAGAGGCCGTAGCCACTCCAGGTAGGGACAGACAGGGGAGGGGGGGTCAGGCTGCCCACAAGTTGGGGTCTTACACCCCACTGCGGAGGCCCTCCTCTGCACCCCACGTGGCCGCCGGGCGAGGCCACGTCCCACACATGTGGCTCCCTGCCGGCCCCCTGGCTGTAGACCAAGGCATTGCCCGCCTGGCTGGCCACTCTGCCCTCCCTTCTCCGTCCTGGGTATGGGGGCCCTGCCCCTTGGCTCCAGGGCCCCTGAGGGGGAACTCCAGGGTTCCACAGAGCTCTTCTCTGGCTCCTGCCAAGGGAGTGGCCTTTGCCCCGTTCCCCTCTCCTGCCCACCCCGCCCCGCCAGATCTGAGGTGATCCGGCTCACACAGCAGGCCACGTGGGCCTGTAGCTGCCCGTGGGGTGGGGATACCACGGGGTGGGCAGAAGAGCCCTGGAGGAAGGCCCTGGAGCCTGGTGCTGACCTGGCTTCTGCACACCACACTTCAGGCACTGGTCTTCCTTTCCTGGGTTTCAGTTTCCCTGGGCTGAGCTGGAGCCCCCTCCTCGCCCCCAGTGTCACAGTGCTAGGGGACTGCCCCCCGCCCCCCCCCCCACGGGCTGCAGGGTCAGGCCCCAGGCTTGCCTGCCAGCCCTACCCACACTGGCGGGGTCCCTCAGGCTGGGGTGCAGGCTAACCGTTCCCGGCTCCCAGGCCGCGCCGGGAGGAGGCGATGTGCTGCGGCTACAACCCGGCAGATTGGGTCGAAGCTGCCAATGCTGCTTTCCTCCAGGATGAGGGTCCAAAGACTCAAGCAATAACTTGCTGACTATCTGGTCAGAGGACTCTGCAGGGGCTCAGCGGGGAGCCGCAGGCAGACAGCTGGAGCCCCGGCTGTGCTCCTGGAGAAATCAGGACCAGGAGGGCCGGAGGGGTGCGAGCGCAGGCGGCCGGGTGGTCTGCGGCTCCAAGCCCTCCTCTGTTCCCACAGTCAACGCGGAGCTGGTGCGGAGGGCCGGCGGCAAAGGCCCGCTGCGCGTGCACAGCTGCATGGAGCAGAAGGTGGCCCTGCTGCGCCTCTACCCTGGGATCTCCGCCTCCATGGTAGGGGGCGCCTGCTGCCGCCTGCTGCCGCCCGCTGCCTCCCGTGTCCACTCTGCGCCTGCTCTGGCTCCCCTGCCCATGGGTCCCCGGGACTTCCCTGCCACCTGAGTGCCCGGGGCAGCTGTCACCCCGCGTGGCGCCCGCTTCCCTGCACCCCAGGCCCAGGCCCAGCCTCGCCGTGTGGCCGAGGCCCTCCCAGCGGTGTCTGGCCTGTGTGGGAGGTCTTGCGCCCTCCCGGCCCTCCAGGCTGGTTAGGGATGTGGGCTGGTCAGTGTGGTCAGTCAGTGCGGACATCTGAAGATGTTCTGGACCACCAGGTCTGCTGCCCCTGACCGCCTAGGGCCGGTCTGGAGTGGCCGTAGGACTCTGTTCTGCTTGCTCTCGCCCTCGCTCTCTCCCTCCCCCTTCACCCCTCCCGCAGCTCACTAGGCCCGTGTGGGCCTCTCACGCTAGAGCCTCCTGCCTCAGCCTTCCAAGTTTGGGGACTCTGCTCTTTCTCGGTGATCTCTTTCTTGGTGAGCTCTCGCTCCTGTGGTGGCTCAGGCCTGGCTGCTCCCTCTCCTGTGTTCTGAGATGCTGACAGGACCCCAGCCTGCTGGGGTTGAGGGCAGGGCCAGCGTTCTAGGTAGCCCTGGAGTGACTGGGAGGGAGCGCCGCCCGGCCTGCCCCGGGCCCTGTCTCTCCCACCCCACCATTGCCCTCACTCTGGACACGGGGGAAGCGAGGAGGCCTCTAGCCACAGCGGAGCAGAGAGGGGTCTGGCTGCTCCAGTTTGCGGCAGTGTGCCGGGCCATGTGCCGGCACGGCTGCCCAGCACCCCCGCCCGCCCCCACCCAGGTCCGGGCCGTCGTGCAGCCCCCACTGAAGGGCCTGGTCATGGAGACCTTTGGGGCCGGGAACGGTCCCACCAAGGAGGACCTGCTGCAGGAGCTCCGCGCGGCCGGGGAGCGCGGCCTGCTCATCGTCAACTGCACCCAGTGCCTCAGGGGGACCGTGACCTCAGACTACGCATCGGGCCTGGTAGGGTGGGACACAGGTGGGGGGGGGGGGACGGGACTGGACGGGACGGCTGGGGCTGAGCGACCTGGCTGGTCCACGTGGCCCTCTGCAGGACAGGGCGGGAGCCGGCATCGTCTCGGGCTTTGACATGACAGCAGAGGCCGCGCTGGCCAAGCTGTCCTACGTGCTGGGGCAGCCAGGGCTGAGCCTGGAGGACAGGAAGAAGGTGAGCCCAGCCGGGGTAGGCGGGGCCGGCGCGCACATGCGCATGCGTGTGCCCGACTCCCGAGGGGTGTTGGCTGGCGCACACGCTCAGAGGGCAGGGGGCAGGGGAGCGGGCTCCCTGAGGAGGGGAGGGCCCCCTCGGCCCTCACCTGACCTCCTGTTCAGGCCCGCCCTTCCCTGCGAGGTTTCTGGTTCTGGTCCTGCTGAGCTCCCCACAGTTCCCAGACCCCCCCCCAGGGCTCACGGGCACCGCACCCGGTGAGGCCTTGGGTAACACCAGCCGCGGCCACTCTTGAGTGTGAGGATGGAGGGGGAGCACGGGGTGGGGGGCAGGCCTGGGAGCCCCTCCGCTCTGCCCGGGGTCTTGGCCCTCATAGCAGCTCAGGACGCCCGCCCCGCCCTGGCCGGGCCTGTTAGCCGCCCCGTCCCCCTCCAGCTGCTGGTCAAGGACCTTCGAGGGGAGATGACTCTGCCGATGCGGGATGAGTGCGGGTCCCCGCCGCAGGACCGCACGCTGGCCTGCAGAGTGGACTGGCTGCTCGGGCTCGGCGGTGGCCAGGTACTCCCCCGTGTGGCGCAGCCTGGGACTTGGGAGGCAGTGGAGGCACCCCACGGGCTGGGCAGCGTGCGGGTGCCCAGGAGGAGGACTGGGGCTCCCAGACTCAGCCCACGCCTTCACCCGGGCACGTGGCCCGGCCCGACTCCTCCCGCTTCATAACCAGATGCTGGCCGAGGACCCCACGCTGTGACCACCTGCCCCTGGGGAGCGTCCAGGGCTGGGGGGGGAGCAGCTGGGGGCAGAGCCTCTCTTAGGGCAGCCTCAGCCTGCGGGCCTCCTGGCCTCCTTTTCCTCCTGAGCTGTCTCACCTACTGCTTGCCTGCGACAGGCGCTGTGGGCCACGAGCAGCAGCTCTGTGGTGGGTCAGCCCTGGGCACCAGACACGCGGGCCCTCGGGGAGCCCCTGGGCGGCAGGTGCTGCAGCAGGAGGCCCCATGGAGAGACTTCAGCAAGGCTCTTGCTTGGGGGAGCACAGGTTCCCATGTCCCCCTCGGGACAACAGGACTCAGTCCCGCCGGCAGGGGTGGGGGGCTGTGGTCAGGAAAGAATCCAGTGGCCTCTACACTGACCTTGCTGGCAGGTGGGGGAGGGGGCAGGAGACCCTCTGAGAGAGGCGGTGGGCACCTCCCTGGGTGGGGTGTGGGGAGCAGGCACGGCGCGTGCGGTCCAAGAACCACCGGCTGCCCTCCGAGCACTCCAGCTCTCTGCCTCCCCACAGGAGGCCGACGCCATGCGGGCCACCCTGGCGCCCAGCCTGGCCCTGGCTGCAGCCCATGCTGGTGACCTGAAGGCCCTGCAGGATCTGCTGGAGCTGGTGAGCCGCCCGGCCAGGGACCAGGGCAGGGCTCGCGCTTGGGGCACCCGGGCCTCACTGCGTCCCCGCCTGCCTCGCTGGGCAGCAGCGCTGGTCTGTCCACCCCGGGGCCTTGCTGCAGCCCAGGAAGCAGGCATGGGCCCCTCCCTGTGGCCTGCGGGGCCCTGACCGCCCGCTGGCGGCCCGTGTGCTCTTGTGTGGCCCCAGGACGGAGACTTGAGCCTGAAGGATCCTAAGGGCCAGACGCCGCTGCACATGGCCGCGCGGAGGGGCCATGAGGCTGTGGTCGCCATGCTGCTGCAGAGAGGCAGGGACATGAACGCCCTGGACGAGGACGGGCACAGCCCGCTGCTGCTGGCTGTGAGGGGCAGGTACTGCCCGCACGGAGACGGGGTGCAGGGCCAGGGCAGCCGCGAGACCCGAGGAGGGCCATGTGCCAGCCTGCTGGCCCCACGTCCCCTGGGTGCCGGCCCCGGCCGGGCAGGGCCGGGCCGCACGCCCACTGTGTCTGTTTCCTTGTGCCTCAGTTGCCTTTGATGCTCAGATACATCAGAACCTCTGTCCCCTGGGGCCGTCCAGGCCCCCGGGCTCCAGACCAGCCTCTCCCCGACATTTTCCCACTGGGGTGGGTGGCCTGCGGGAATGAGTTATGGAAGGGCACGCCGGTCCCCCGTGGGAGGCCGGTGTCTGATCCCAGGTTTACTGGCCGAGGCGGGGGCTGAGCCTTTGTCCGGAACAGGCCTGGCGGGTTGGTGGGGGCGATGGTCGCTGTGGGGTGGCCATCACACCACTCTGGGGTGATCCTGGCTGCACATCTGACTGGGCATCTCGTGGCGTGGGCAGGTGGGTGGGGAGGATGAGCTCACCTGCCCCGCCCGCCTTCACCACGCTCCAGCCGGTGCCCCTCCCTCCCATGCCTGAGTGCGTCTGAGCATGGCTGGCCGGGCCTCCCAGGGCCCAGCCGGCGGCTCCGAGGATGGCGGGGCAGCCATGGCATTAGGCACCCAGCACCTGGCAAGAAGGGAGCTGGCGATGAGAGCGGCACTCTCCTGGGCAGCCTTGTCTTCGCTCTCACGCTCTTCCTTGGCCTTGCTGGAGCCCCTTGTCCCATGGGCGAGCTGCCCCTCCCCAGCCAGGAAGCCACGCCACGCCCCCCCCATCACGGGCAGCCAGGACACCATTCATGTGTCTGTGGCCCTTCCTTCCCGGCCAGCACCCATCCCCCACCCGCACCCATCCCCAACTACACCCAACTGCAGGCATGGGACACGCCTGACTCAGTTTCCCCAGAGCTATCCCTGGGCCCCGTGGCGGGGGGAGGGGGTCGCCTGGGGTGCGTGTGAGAGGAGGACTAGCTGACTCAGGTGCGGGACTGTCCCCAGGGCGCCGGCCCCAGGGTGTCCTGGGAGGCATGGCTTGGGTGGGGTTGCCGCTCAGCCAGGGCCAAGGATGCCTGCTGACCGGTCATCCAGACCCCCGGGAAAGCTCCCTGGACTGGGGAGGTCAGGGGCATGGATGGGCACTGCCGGCACGGGGGGAGGGGGGGACTCGCAGTGGCCCAGCCTGAGCAGGCCTGAGAGCAAAGAGCCGGGTGCTCAGTGGAGCCCCTCTCCCCCCCCCCCCCCGCAGGCATCTGAGGGTCATCCAACGTCTGCGGGCGGCTGGGGCCCAGCTGTCCTCCCAGGACCTGGAGGATGTGGGGACGGAGCTGTGCCGGTGAGGGGGCAGGGCGGTGCAGGGGAGGGGGAGGGGGCATCCTGGCGTGGGGAGTGGGGAGGGACGGCAGGCCCAGCCCGGCCCAGGGCAGAGGCGGCGGCCCAGGCCACCATCTGGGGTTTGCTCTTGCTGGTGCGAGGCAGGGAGGGGCAGGAGGGTTAAGGCTGGTCTTGGCTTTGAAAGTTCCAGGGCCATACCCCAGGCAGGCCTTTGTGGCTCATGACAGATGGGCAAACTGAGGGAGTAGGCCGGTCCTGCGGAACCCGGGCTCAGCCGGCCTGAGCTGCTTGGCTGGCTGGCTGGGGTGAGGTGGGGCTGGCTGCCCCCGGTGCGGGCGTGGGGGCCTGGGCGGTTCCTCCTGAGGCCCTCCTGTGTGGCGGCACCCCAGCTCCTGCCTGCCCCCCTCTTGCTGACAGGCCACTCCATGGCCCGCTCCGCCCTTGGTTCTGTGGGGTGGGGTCTGGGCTCCTCCTTACCCCGCACCGGCTCCAGCACCCCCAGGGCTGTGTTGTGAAATATGAAACTGGAGCTGTGCAGGGAGAGGTGTGCGTCTGTGCACACGCGTGTGCGCATGCGCTGGACCTGAGTCACAGCCACACCCACTGTGAAACTGGACTCCAGCCCCAGGGCCTGGCTCTGCCTGATCAGCTGTTTGAAGCTGGCTTGGCACTGAGAGTGGGGGGGGCTGGTGACGGTGGCCCCCAGGCCCTGACGGCCCTCCCCCCCCCCAGGCTGGCATCCAAGGCAGACTGCACTGGCCTGCAGGCCTGGTGGCAGGCGGGGGCCGACCTGACACAGCCCGGGTACAACGGGCACACTGCCCTGCAGGTCGTAAGTACTTCTTGCACCCCGGCTGAGACAGCGCCTCCAGGAAGGCCACTCTGACTGTCCCGCCCGCTCCTCCTCACCCCCAGTTCCTCCCAGGAACCCCAGTCCTCTGGGGACACGCTCTCCCACATCGGCAGCACACGGGGCCCTCCTCTGGGTCTGGGGCCGTGGAGAGGAGGGTGGGGCACCCTGTTTGTGGGCAGGGGAGCAGGTGTAACGAGGAGGTGTCCTGCATGGTGGGCAGCCCCTCCACGCCTCTCCCCTGCAGGCGGAAGCAGCAGGGAAGCCCGACGTGGTGGCCCTTCTCCAGAGCCTGAAGGACAACCGCGTAAGCGCCTGGGTGGATGGGGGCGGGGCGGGTGGGCGGGGCCGGAAGGCCCACTTCAGACCCGGCCTGTGCCAGTCAGGGCCTCGGCGGCCCAGAGACACACACGCACACCACACACACACACAACACACACCACACACACAGCACACACACACACCACCACACACACACACCACACACACACCACCACACACACACACCACACACACACCACCACACACACACACAGCACACATACCACACACACACACACCACACACACCAGACACACACCAGACACACCAGACACACACACCACCACACACACCACCACACACACACACCACCACACACACACCACACACACACCACCACACACACACACAGCACACACACACCACCACACACACACACCACACACACACACCACACACACACCACACACACATCACACACACACACACCACACACACACCACCACACACACACCACACACACACCACACACACACACACCAGACACACACCAGACACACCACCACACACACCACCACACACACACACAGCACACACACACACCACCACACACACACACCACACACACACACCACCACACACACACACCACACACACACCACACACACACACACCACCACACACACCACCACACACACACACCACACACACACACACCACCACACACACCACCACACACACACACCACACACACACCACACACACACCACACACACACACACCACACACACACACCAGACACACACACCACACACACACCACACACACACCACACACACACACACCAGACACACCAGACACACACCACACACACACCACACACACACCACCACACACACACACCACCACACACACACACCACACACACCACACACACACCACCACACACACACACAGCACACACACACACCACCACACACACACACCACACACACACCACACACACACACCACCACACACACACACCACACACACACACCACCACACACACACACCACACACATACCACACACACACACACACACCACACACACACCACCACACACACACACCACACACACACCACACACACACACCACCACACACACACCACACACACACACCACCACACACACACACACACCACACACACACACACACCACACACACACACCACCACACACACACACCACACACACACCACACACACACACACCAGACACACCAGACACACACCAGACACACCAGACACACACCACCACACACACCACCACACACACACACCACCACACACACACACCACACACACACCACACACACACCACACACACACACACACCACACACACACCAGACACACACACACACCACCACACACACACACCACACACACACACCACACACACACACCACACACACACCACACACACACCACACACACCCACACACACACACCACCACACACACACACCACACACACACACCACCACACACACACACCAGACACACCAGACACACACCAGACACACACACACACCACCACACACACACCACACACACACACCACCACACACACACCACACACACACCACACACACACACACCACCACACACACACACCACACACACACCACACACACACACACCAGACACACCAGACACACACCAGACACACCAGACACACACACCACCACACACACCACCACACACACACACCACCACACACACACACCACACACACACCACACACACACCAGACACACACACACCACCACACACACACACCACACACACACACCACACACACACACCACACACACACCACACACACACCACACACACACACACACCACACACACACCACACACACACCACACACACACCACACACACACACACACCACACACACACCACACACACACCACACACACACCACACACACCAGACACACACACCACCACACACACCACCACACACACACCATCACACACACACACCACCACACACACACACCACACACACACCACACACCAGACACACCAGACACACACCAGACACACCAGACACACACACCACCACACACACCACCACACACACACCACACACACACACCACCACACACACACCACACACACACACCACCACACACACACACCACACACACACACCATCACACACACACACCACCACACACACACCAGACACACCAGACACACACACCACACACACACACCACACACACACACCACCACACACACACCAGACACACACCACACACACACACCACACACACACACACACACACACGCTGGGGGCCCAAGGGTGTGTGCACTCCGCCTGCCCATCTCCCAGTCTCCATTCCATTATGTGATGCTTCTGGAGAATTCCCAGCCGGCTGGGTTCCCCTACCAGGAAGCTGGTAGAGTCCTGAGGCAGGGCGCCCATCGCCCGGGCTTCATGCGTTCTTAGCAGATCCCTCATTTTCAGGAAGTACAGCCTGATGTCTAACCGGAGGTCACCCTGCTGCAGTGGGCACTATTTCTTCTTGCTGAGACCAGCTGGAGGGAACTCAGGAGCCCACCCGCCCTCTGGCTGATGCCCCTCCCTCCCTCTGACTGATTGCCCCCCCCCAGATGGATTGATCCCCCCTGACTGATTCCCCCCAGACAGATGCCCCCCCCAGGACTGCTTCCTGTCAAGCCTGATGGTGGTTGCTGGGCAAGATAGCAATAAAGTGGGCGGCTCACCTGCGTGCTCCCCGAGCCGGCTGGACGAGTCTGTCGGCTGTTCTCGTGGGCGGTGGGGACCTGCGCCCCGGCACCTGGGGCGGGACCCCCCGCATGCTGACCTGCTCCAGCCGTGTCCTCCCCCGGCGGCCCCCGCCCCATCTTCCCATGCCCGCCATCTCATCTGGCATTCGGCCACCTCCTCCAGGCGGCCCTTGCTGCGCGGCTGCTCTGGCTCTTCCCGGCCCCTGGCAGTGAGCCCCAGCGGCGTCCATCCCCACCCTTGGTATATACCAGCCCGGATCCCCCACCTAAGCTGTGCGGGCCGCCCGGCCCAGGGCAGAGCGCTGTGTCCTGCCTGCTGCAGGCGTGCACGGCGGCTGAAGTCGGGGATCTGACACGTGCTGGGTTTGGGGCTTGAGCTCTAAATGTCCAGCAGGGGCTGAGCTACCCCCAGCCCGGGACTCAACACGAATCCCTGGCCACCCCTCCTGCCACCCACAGCCACTGGCTGCAGTCCCGTGCACGGACTCCAGAGCCGGGGAGGGCAAGGTGTGACCCCAAGGGCCAGCCCTGGACTCTCGGGCCGCCGCCCACGCCCCAGGCCCTCAGCCTGGCTCCCAGCCTGGCTGGCGCTGCCCTGGCCGCCTCCCAGGTCTTCACCCAGACACAGGTGTGCCTGGGCCTTGCACAACCAGGCAACGCCACCTGAGCATGGCAGGCCCAAGAAGCCTGTGCCCCACACCCCGCCGAAGCCCCCAGGGAATGCCAGGGGCTGGGGGGCCCGGAGCCAGGCTGTCTCCGGGGTGGGGACCTTCCTGGCCTCTGGGGCAGAGTGGGCTCTGGGTCACGTCTCTGGGCCCCGCCAACCACAGCATGGCAGCGGTGCCAGGCTTCGCTCTGCCCCCAAGGGACTGGCAGCCTGGCCGCCCAGCCCCAGTGGCCCGCAGGACCCTCCCAGGCAGGTGGGGCAGCGTGGAGCGCCCCCGCTGGGCTGGCCCTCTCCCAAGACGAGCCACGGGCTCCACACGGGCAGCAGGGGCACCAAGAGCTTTGGCAGCGGGCAGTGTCTGGAAAGTAGGAGAGAGGGAGATGGCCTGCTGGCCCGCGTGTGTCCATTCCTCCTCTGAGGCCACTGAGAGGCAGCGGGTCCCCGGAAGAGCCGCAGCCCGGCCACCTTGGAGATCTCCCTCTGCCAGGTGTTGGTCTGTCCGTTCCCACGGGGCCTCAGTCTCCCATTTTCCAATGGAGAAACCAAGGCAGAGCGCTCCCAGGGCCCACACTGGCCTGGTATTGCGGAGCCCAGCCTAGCCATGCAAGGGTCCGCTCCTCTGAAGAAGGCACCGGGCTCAGGGGAAGTGGACATTGCCCAGCTCTGCCATGGGGCGGGGCTCAACTCCCCTGGGGGAGTCCTGTGCTCACACTCCGGGTACCCTGTACCCCAGGGACCCTGTACCCCAGGGACCCCGCACCCCAGACACCCCACACCCCAGGGACCCCACACCCCAGAACCCCACACCCCAGACACCCCGCACCCCAGACACCCCGCACCCCAGGGACCCCGCACCCCAGACACCCCGCACCCCAGGCATCCCACACCCCAGGCATCCCACACCCCAGGGACCCCGCACCCCAGGGACCCCGCACCCCAGGGACCCCGCACCCCAGGCACCCCGCACCCCAGGGACCCCGCACCCCAGGCACCCCGCACCCCAGGCATCCCGCACCCCAGACACCCCACACCCCAGACACCCACACCCCAGGCACCCCGCACCCCAGACACCCCGCACCCCAGGGACCCCGCACCCCAGGCACCCCGCACCCCAGGCACCCCACACCCCAGGCACCCCGCACCCCAGGGACCCTGCACCCCAGACACCCCGCACCCCAGGCACCCCAAACCCAGGGACCCCACACCCCAGAACCCCACACCCCAGACACCCCGCACCCCAGACACCCCGCACCCCAGACACCCCGCACCCCAGACACCCTGCACCCCAGACACCCCGTACCCCAGGCACCCTGCACCCCAGGCATCCCGCACCCCAGACACCCCATACCCCAGGGACCCCGCACCCCAGACACCCCGTACCCCAGGCACCCCGCACCCCAGGCACCTTGCACCCCAGGCACCCCAACCCCAGACACCCCGCACCCCAGACACCCCGCACCCCAGGCACCCTGCACCCCAGGCACCCCGCACCCCAGACACCGTGCACCCCAGGGACCCCGCACCCCAGGGACCCCGCATCCCAGGGACCCCGCACCCCAGACAGCCCACACCCCAGGCACCCCACACCCCAGACACCCCAACCCCAGACACCCCACACCCCAGGGACCCCACACCCCAGACACCCCATACCCCAGGGACCCCACACCCCAGGCACCCCCAAACACTGCACCTCAGGAACCCCGCGCCCCAGGCACCCCGTGCCCCAGGGACCACTCGCCACATCTCAGGACCACAAGGACTTGGCTTGTTCCCCTCCCCCGCCTCAGCCCCCCACCCCGCAGGCTGAGCGGTGCAGAGGGGCCCCTCCCCCTCCCATCGCTGGACACCTGGGGGTCCTGCTCCGAGCTCCCCACCGTCACCCCTCCCGCCCTCCCCCAGCCCCTCCACTGCAGCCGGAGGTGGGAAACCTCGCCGTGCCTCCGTTTCCCCAACCGCGTGGGGTCGCGGCCCTCACGGCTCGGTGGCTGCCCGGCCGGGCCCAAGCGCTGGCCCTGGGCACTGCCCTGGGCTTTGGGGGAACAGCCGGGGGAGGGCTCCGGCCCCTCCGCCCCCCCTCCGGCTCCTGCAGGCTCCCTGCCAGGCAGCAGGGGGGGTCAGAGGGAGGGGGAGGCCAGGGGACGCGGGGCCACCTTGGCGGGGCTGGGGGTCAGGGGGCTTCGGCTTCTGAGGCCATCTGCCCCCTCCCCCCCGCACCCTCCCTCCCCCTCCCCCTGCGCCCTCCCCTTTCCTTCCCCCCTGCACCCTCCCCTCCCCCTCCCCCTGCGCCCTCCCCTTTCCTTCCCCTCCTGTGCACCCTCCCTCCCCCTCCCCCTGCGCCCTCCCCTTTCCCTCCCCCCTGCACCCTCCCCTCCCCCTCCCCCTGCGCCCTCCCCTTTCCTTCCCCCCTGCACCCTCCCTCCCCCTCCCCCTGCGCCCTCCCCTTTCCCTCCCCCCTGCACCCTCCCCTCCCCCTCCCCCTGCGCCCTCCCCTTTCCTTCCCCCCTGCACCCTCCCTCCCCCTCCCCCTGCGCCCTCCCCTTTCCCTCCCCCCTGCACCCTCCCTCCCCCTCCCCCTGCGCCCTCCCCTTTCCTTCCCCTCCTGTGCACCCTCCCTCCCCCTCCCCCTGCGCCCTCCCCTTTCCTTCCCCCCTGCACCCTCCCTCCCCCTCCCCCCTGCGCCCTCCCCTTTCCTTCCCCCCTGCACCCTCCCCTCCCCCTCCCCCTGCGCCCTCCCCTTTCCCTCCCCCCTGCACCCTCCCCTCCCCCTCCCCCTGCGCCCTCCCCTTTCCTTCCCCCCTGCACCCTCCCTCCCCCTCCCCCTGCGCCCTCCCCTTTCCTTCCCCCCCTGCACCCTCCCTCCCCCTCCCCCTGCACCCTCCCCTCCCCCTCCCCCTGCGCCCTCCCCTTTCCTTCCCCTCCTGTGCACCCTCCCTCCCCCTCCCCCTGCGCCCTCCCCTTTCCTTCCCCTCCTGTGCACCCTCCCTCCCCCTCCCCCTGCGCCCTCCCCTTTCCTTCCCCTCCTGTGCACCCTCCCTCCCCCTCCCCCTGCGCCCTCCCCTTTCCTCTCCCTCCCCCACCGCACCCTCTCTCCCCCCTCCCCCCCTCCAGTTTCACTTTCCCTTCGCCCCAGGTTCCCTGGGAAAAGCCCGACGGGGCGGGCGGGTCCGCCCCCTCCGCAGCCGCCGCTCCAGCCCGCGCCCCGGACTCCGTGCCGGGTGTGCGGGGTCCCGGGCCGGGCGGGGTCTCGGGTGGGGTCTCGGGCCGGGCGGGGTCTCAGGCGGGCGGGGTCGGGGTCCCGGGCCGTGCGGGGTCTCGGGCGGGGTCTCAGGCGGGCGGGGTCCCGGGCCGTGCGGGGTCTCGGGCGGGGTCTCAGGCGGGGTCCCGGGCCGTGCGGGGTCTCGGGCGGGCGGCCGGGCGCGGTGAGTCAGGGCCGCCCCCGCGGGCGCGCCGAGCCCCGGCCCCGACGACCCGCCGCGCGACCTGCGGCCCGGAACCGCCCGGCCCGGAAAAACCGGTCGGGCCGGCGCGGCGGAGGCGGCCGGGGCCATAAAAGGCGCCGCGGCGGGGCCGCCGCCGCACGGAGCGCCGCGGGGCGGGACGAGGGCCGCGGGCGGCGCGGGGCCCGGCGGGGCCGCCGCGGACGGGACGGCGAGGCGCGGAGCGGACGGCGAGGCGGGGCCCGGAGTCGGCGGCCGCGGGCCGGGGCTCCCCGCGCCGGGCGGCTCCCGCGCGCCGGCCGCAGTGGTTCTCAGCAGTTCAACAGTTCCATGGCGCAATTGTGAAATGTTTAGGACCACTGGGGCCGGCGCGCCCCGCCGCCTGCCCGGCCGGGGACGCGGGGACGCGGGGACGCGGGGCGGGGCGCGGGGCCGGGGACGCGGGGCGGGCCGGGGACGCGGGGCCGGGGCTTGGGGGCGCGGGGCTTGCGGGCGGGCACGCGGGGCGCCGGGAAGGCGGGGAGTGGCCGGCGTGGGCCCGTGCTCTGGGAACCGCAGGGGTGCGGGGCTCGGCCGCCGGGCCCTGGCGCGGAGCCGGGAGCCGCGGTGCCGCGCCCCCTGCGCCCCGGGCCCCGCACGCCTCTCCGGAGGGAGCGCGGGTCGCCGGGTCTTGGACCGGCCGGGCCCGGGCCGGGGGACGCGGGGCCCGCAGGCGGCCCGGCCCGCGGGGCTCCACGCGAAGGCGTCCGCGCCCGACGGCGCCGGGGTGAGGGTCCGCGCGGGGCCCGGGACGGCTGCGCGGGGCCCCGGCCTCCCGCACGGAGGGGTTCCCGCATGTGCCTGACCACGCCGGGCGTCCCGGCGGTGGCTGCGCCTGTGCGGGCGGCAGCGCGGGGC